ATAGCAATCTGTATTGCCTCGACACTCGTCTGACGTGACATCGATCGAGCGGGAAAGCCACTCAAGCCAGTAACAGGGCTTCCACTGTGCCCTGACCGTCGAGATTTTGGGAGCGAGAGGGTCCCTACTACCACCCATGGGGATCGCTGAGTATTCCTAAGGGAAGAACTCAGTAACCATTTTCATCGTGAACCGTGCATTTAAAGTCACTGCCTTCACCCAGTCATCACAATCCTTTGAAAGAGATAGAGATGGAGTGAAAGTGAACTCATTTTCCCAATTACAGTAGTTATGCAATTGCAGCTGCCAGTGTTTTTCAATGAGTTCTCAGATGTCCCTTCTAATGATTAAATGCAAATACTTGATGGTAAGGGGTGGTTAGCAACAAGTGATACATTAACATACAAGCACGGTGGGGAGCCCAAAAGTCCAAAGTCCCATTCCGTCCGTATCAGTTGATTCCAAACTCGTCCTGGAGGATAAAAGCACTGAGTTGTACATCGGATGACTTCCGCAATTCGTTGTTTGGACTATGTAAGCATTCGAAATTGTCTAAATCCTCTACAATTGTCAATGGAAGCTGATCGCGGCATGTATCCCAAATCGGAACCTACAGACGCCAAAGGGTTTACTCTTCACCCTTTTCTGTGCAGTGGCGCTAAAAAGGTCTTCGGTCATTTTTGGTTCTCTCCATGCCAGCTATATTTAGCTATTCAATGACGACGTTGTGTAACCCTATATAACGACCTGCAGATTTAGTTGATGTCCAAATCGAAGTTTTTAGTGTTGTAAGTGAGTCAGCTGCCAATAATTCGGTTCAGGGAGGCGTGTTTTGCCTCTCAACTCACAACGATCGGGTGAAGCCCACCTTCAGGAAGGAATGGGATTCACGACTTAGAGGGAGATTTCTGAAGGTGACAAATAAGATTTTCGAAGGAAAAGTGCCCATTCAACAAAGGATTGCGACATTTGTTGCCTTTTTCATCTAAACTACAGCAAGAACATGAAATGGATGCGAGGCACTGGTTCGCTGCCGGAAGCTCATCCTGATTGATTATGATTGAAGAACCTGTTAAGGGCATGGTGGAACCAGTAAATGGCATTGCGACCGATCAGAGCAACTTCTCTTAGCGCTTCCATTACAAATATAACCGTGTGGGTACTAAGCAACAAATTAACCCTATTCTGGTCCTAAGAATCTATACCTTTCCGCCGCCCTTTCATATTTCATCATACATTCAGGAAAGAGAGAATATAGAAAACGGTAGGTAGCAAATCAAACCTGGGGAGACTTGCGAGTTACAGGTGGAAAACTCCAGATAAGAAGTGGGAAAATCGGTTCTGGAACGAGAAATCATGGAGTTGCCGGTAAGATGTATTTGAACCATAACCCTGCGAAAGTACGAAAAGGACATTCTGTCGAGAATTGAATACGCCCCCTAACGATCCTACTAACGCTTTCTATAATATTTGCAGGNTCGTTTCTATGTGAAGGCATTAGATTTAGAGACACTAAAGTTCAAAAAGAATGATGATATGGCAGAAGTGCTGTGAAGAGCCAGCAAAGAGATGACGAAGGATAAAGTAAACGACGCAAAGAAAAGAAAAACTAGCTAAATCAGGGCGGATGCTAGACTATTCAATTTATTTCTGAGATGTTTTTGACTGTTGACTCGAAAAGTTTATGATTATCCAGTCTCAACAACGATTTTCGAAGGCCACCCAAAACAAGAATCAGTATTTTTGTTTCCGAAAAAAAAGTGGGTAAATGACGGAAACAAGGCTGAACTGAAAAAAGAGGAGGCCGCGAAGCTGTGGTAGATTACTACTGCGGTGGACGGGGAAAAAGTGGGTGGAGTGGGTAAAAGGAAAGAGCAGTACAGGATGTGCCAATAAGAATTAAAGGTATTTGTGTGGTATGTTTGTCTGGAAACAAAAATCTCCTCAGTTTATGGAAAACATACCTGTTGAGCGCATTATCTTTTCGGTCATCTTAGAATATAGCTGAAACCATGGTTTTCTGAAACCATGATTCTGACTGTAGTGAATTTTTCTGTACTAATTTCTCCTTCAAGCCTTTACTAGCAGCGGATGAGCCGAGTTCTTTGAAGGCACAGTTTGCGGTAATTCCGAGAATTCCACTTCTAGACGAATAACGGAAGTAATAGTCCAGTCGGAGTAGTGCAAAAGTAGCGTAGAAAATTCAAAACTCCGCGTATTTAGAGAATCATGAGTTTTCGAAAATGTAGTAAAAATAAGGGTCGGACGAGGACGTGACGGTAAAAGTTGCATGGGAAGGGATCTTTAGACGAGAAATACAAATGTGTGTGCTAGTGCGTATTATGGATACAGTAAGCTGCTCCCTCTTTCGAATGGTGCAACCCTACAGTCTCTTCAACGCTGTGAGAACATGTCCGTGCTGGGTGTGTGCGTCGAACTAGCTGGTTTGGGGCCCTTATTAAGTCCTATTTGCGCGGCTTTTGACCGAAAACGCTCCTTGTACTGCCCTCGAGGTAGCCTCGAAACCATTTTTACCGTGAATTATGCCTTTGAAGCCTAGCTTGTGATGATCATTCAGGTAAGGCATATTGCCTTTCGAGGTGTATTCAACTGTTTGATTTGGAGAAAGATTCAAGGAACTACTTGTAACCAGTACTTTCAATTTCAGGATACTCAACAAAGGAGCACAGTTCCGAGATGAAGAAGACGGCTATGCAGCAGGGTAAGTGACTTGAACTCAATATAGTGGGTACATAAATACGATCAGATTGATTATTTCTTTATTTACACATTTCTGATATACTTTCTCGATAACTTGCGCTCTCCCCTAGCTATGCTTCATCAAAATATGGGCCAGTTATAAATGGGAACAATTATTTGAGGATCGGGCGAAACAGGTTGTTCCCATTCATAATGGTTTTTATGATATTGGAAGGAATATGGTTTTCTTGACGTAATTCCATGAGCTCAGCCTACTTCGTGGAAGCTTCCCGCTTTACGATAAAAGAATCTCGAAGTGGCCCCGCATATCTGTAGAGATGTCACCGAAAGGATTCCTCGTTTAGTTGACTTCTCTCGAAATTTTAAAATGGAGTGAATAGAACTGGCGATGACTCCTTTCGCTTTAGACAAGTTCTACTTGCGCTCAACCCTTAAAACTTGGTGAAAAGTGCTAAAATCACAAGTCTTCAGACTTTATCGAAGTTTCTGACGTCATTCAATCCCGTACTTGGAATTGCGCCCCCGCAGCCGCCTTCCATTAAGAATCGCAATGGAAGTTGTGTGGCCTACACAATGACTTGCGGTGGCCAGCCGATGTACAAGTCAGCACTTTTATCCTACTAGATGAGTAGGGTACCGAAGGGACCCCGGAGGACCGCAAGGCCTGTTTGGCCTATGCACGATTCTGAATTCGAACCTTGGACCATGCGTGTGTGATAGTGTGACACTTCCCACTACACCACCTCAGTCTATAAGTGTTATACCATTGAGTTTCGGTAGATGTCAAGCGTGCAAGCTGTTGTATGTAGGGCTGCGCACATTTTTTTTCGCATCCAACATTTTTCGTTCAATATTTCAATATTAATATTGAACGTTCATATTTTCAGAGGGCAAAATTCTGTAGTGGATGAGGGCACTAATGTCTACTGTTATGATCAGAATTCGGATGGCATGCACGTCCACGCCAACAAAGTGCTTCAGGTCAGTCATGCATGTGGATGTCTGCTATTCGGAGAAAATTGCCCCAATTTTTCATGTTTTCGTAAAAACTCGTAGCGTTTGAGAATAAGTAAAACTTCGAGTTCGAGGGAGCAGCTAATGATTGAGTTTGTAAAGCTGAGTTGTAGTTGTGACAAACGGAATTAGATGAGGATAGTCTTTTAAAAATGAACGTAGCATGGCAGACCTTAAGCATCATTATAAGCGCTACTCATCGCTCAAATTCAGATGGTGGAGAATGCTCAATGCTGCGCCTGTCGGAAACGATGGCAGCTGGCCATTTTGGCCAACATCGGCTTCATGATCGTGTTCGGAATTCGTTGCAATTTTGGTGCTGCTAAGAATCATATGTTCAAGAACTACACCGATCCATGGGGTCGTCGTCATGTGAGTTCGCATTCGGAAACTCCTATTGTGCGTGTACAAACACCGTTTCGATAAGTTCCGCTGAACAGTGAGTGACTGACTATTGAGCCTTCAAGTGAGACGGTTCTTTCTACGTGGCCCAGGTACAACTGAGAACATGCCTCGAATCTTTCACGCGTTCAGAAGTTTCGGTCTTTGAGGGCAATGAACCTGTGACCCTGAAGAATAGCCTAAGGGACGATGTCGAGCGGAGAGATAATCTAAATGGGTCGCCATACGGGCTCCAAAACTGACTTACAATTAGCCAACATACACACCCAGAGAAACTGATTTTTTTTTTTGAAGAGGTTGTAGAGGTTGCACCATTCGCGCCGGGACGCACACGTTGCTGGCAGACAGTTTACTGTGGACAGCTGTACGCAGTGACTACTTTCACAATTCGTCGGCCGAGGACTGCTTGGCCCGCGGTATCGATCAAGATCAAATTGTAAACTAGGGGCAAGCGCCGCCCCCGGCCGGCGCTCGCGCTCGCGGTTCGGCCGGCGAACTATGAAAACAGCCAGTGGCACACATATTCGAACAGCTCGTCCAAATACCCTTGCATGCACCGATTTTTGCAATATTTTGGAACATCATTTAGATTATTCATCTAGAAGTGGATACTACAGAATTTTCATGAACGTGCCTTCAACCACCTCGGTATTTATGAGAAAGCGAGCAAACACCAAACAAGAACCTACAAAAAATATCGGAAATTAACTGTTCGACGGCGATGCTGATCATTTTTTGCAAGGGTGTGAATTGCATTTTCACTCAAACTTTCCTTTCACTCCGTTACATGACTAGTTGTGCCGATGAACAAATCTGTTATCTAATTCACTCTTTTGATTTCACTTGAGAGCTGGAAGTCCATAAAAGAGGAAGCGGCTCAGTTGAGAAAGCCGACTTCTCATCAACAGAATAGTTAATGAAGGACGTTAGACACTTCAGATAGCATCGAACTTTAGTTTTGAACTCCACAACTCCCCCGAGAAAATAAAACAAAACTTCCATCTAGTTATTGCCAATAGACAGAGAATCCATCTGATATTTGAAGTTATTCGTTGAAAAAACTGACGATTACAGCCGCATTTTAAGCATACCTACATAAACTAATACCGGTTACTCGATTTCTGTCAATGAACTAGATGAAGAAAAATGAAAAAAGACTGCTTTGGAAGGAAAACGAAAGAAATATGATGTCATTGAATTGAAACGGATGTCTTTGGAGGATTATCTGGCGCTGGGGATTGAGAAAGCTCCATTGAAAGACATTGAAGATGGTATAAGGGACTGACGCGAAGAAGTACAACGTCTTAGTTTAATGAAATGTCTTACTACAATATGAATATGAAGGGCAGGAAGTGTCCTTAGAAGCCATTTTGCTCTTGAGATGATGCAGACTGAAGGCGGACATCCGATTGCCAAGATAGATTGCCAAGATTCTTTGTTAATGATGTTATTTGTTTCTGTTTTTGAGTTTGAAATGGATAAAGGATAAGGAGCGTAATTCAATCCCGTCTGAGGGAGCACCCCCGCATTCGACTTCCATCCAGAATCGTAGTGGCATATTGAATGCACATGTTGCCTATACAATGAAATGCGGAGGTCTGGCACCAATGAAAAGCTCCCGGAGGGAAGGCTTAGTTAGGCTCGGCAGATATTGATCCGGGATTCGAACCCGGATCATGCACGTGTGATAGGGCGACACTTGCCGCTATACCACCTCCACACACATACATAGTTACAGCTGCAGTGGAGAGCGAGGGGAAAGACAGGATGTTTGAGAGCTTCAGCAGACCTTAGGTTTGAATCCCACTCAAAATCTTTGTGGCAACGATGGTATCCCAGACACTGGATTCCGTCGTGCAGCTTGTCCATACCATAACTCCTTATCACTCCTCTGGAAAGCCTCAATATATTAGGTTGGAAGGAAAGTCCTGCAACAAAAAATTCGACTCGTCAGCAATTTGTATCAACAGTTTGAACACGGTAGCAAGAGTGATAAACTTGTAGGACATTCCTCAGGTAATCAACGCATGAAAAATAAGGGCACATGTGTGGGCTTTAGCAACATTACGGTCAATAAATGGACAACACCCGATTCGTACCATCACCTTCTACTAAGAACGCCAAAGGAAAAACGCGGAAAGCAGCTAGAATTATCAGCAACCGATTCAATGCTGGCACTGCTCACCGATCAACGGACAACAATCGGTTGGATTGCTTCA